TAGTCTTCCTTCCGCTGGCAGGTTTTGCAAGCTTGCAAAATTTGATGAAGATATCGACATTGATGCTGCGATCATCTCTTGTCCTCCCAAAGAGCCCTTGATGTGAGAGACAGGAATGATTTGTTTTTCGGAACCCCCAACAACAACTAGGCACATTTAATCAGTTGGCTGACATGGAGAAAACCAATTCACACAAAATACATCTTAGGGACAAGGCTAGGGTTGAAAATTATGAATCATTAAAACAAATCCGATACCCTAATTTGAATCCTAAGAATATGGTTCCTGTTCCATTCATATTAGGGCTGATGTGGACTCCTTGAACGATTGTGAGACGTCAGATTCCACAAAGAATGAAGATGTGAGGGATGACTTGCAGGTCTCATACAAGTTCAAATATTTATTGCATTCTAAGATATGATAATCCATGGAATCCGGTGTGATAAGAGGGATTGAAGGAAACTCTCATACCTTCTAAAGTGCTCATTTTAAAGGAATCTAATGCAGTCACAACGATTACTGTGAGGAATTCAATCAATCAGACAGTGTATATTATTGATCATATCTCATCCTCTTCTATACCGATTTCCAAATTCAAGTAACCTCAGGTACGTGCACAAAAACATGTATAAGAGTTTGAATACTGACATGTAAGTTGTATCGGTTGCTGCTGTTAATTCTCCACCTATACATGTTGTAGCCCATGGAACTTGTTTGAACTTTGAAGGTGTGGAGACTCGTCATGGCAGCTGTGCAGTTGGCAAGAACCCTTTGAACAAGCTGCATAATTGTCCTCCTCCACCTTCTGTAGCTAAAAAGATTTTGGAAACAGTGGATTCGATACTACAAAAGCCCAACAAATCCCCAAGGGAGGTGGCAAAACATCTTCCTCAGATGGTGGTAATCTCCCAAATAGAAGTGATATCCCCACTTTTGGTAGATACCCCGACAAGACGGGTAAGTCGTCTTCCTTATAATTTGTTTATCATGTTAGTAATATCATGGAACGTTCGAGGCCATGGAAGAATTTCTGGTGTTCCGAATTTTCTGCTTGACTCAATGTCAATTTATTATTTTAATTGGAAACAAAATTGCTAGTGGATTTGATTGCACACTGGGGCTCACAAATTAGGTTTCTATAACTGTGTGTGATAATAACTTTGCAGGTAAATCAAGGATTATTGTTTTAAGGAAAAAGTTTATATAAAGATGCAACTTTATAATGTAGAACTACGGATGCACCTCAAAAATCTATCGAAAAAGGTAGTTTTAATGTTGAAAAACCCTTGGATTGATCATCTTGAGATCGAGATGTATGAACATGAAAAATAAAAAGATTTTAAATCTCATAAATAGTACATTTTACGACATATTATCTACACCGTCCATTTTCAATATTTTCATATGTTTTATATATCTACTTGATTTTAACCATTTTTAAAATTTAAAATTTTATAATTAGATGTAAAAAAGGATTTTGAGATAATCCTAAGAACATTTTACATCAAAATTATATACCATGATAATATTTGAAGGTGCACCTTACCTCTAAAGCTACGAATGAATCCGTATGCCAACTGCACCCTTGTTTTAAAGACTCCTTATATATGTTCTATCAATATCTAAAGTATTGGCACAAAGCGTGCTCGGCACAACTTGTACAGAGCTAGTTTGAAACATTTTTTGTGCTGGACTGGCTCTATCTTCAACTTGTGTGCTATGTGTGATTGGCACAAGCCTGTCCGACACATTTTTGTGTCGGACCGACACAGGTTGGCCCTTATGTTTTTTAAAACATGGGTTAAAATGGGCGGTAATTTGGTCCAAAAAAATTATTATTTTTATTTTATTTATTTTGGGTTGAAAAGAAAACTAGAGTTAGGAAGTTGTATCAAAAGTGTTGAAAAAGGATACTATAAAAAGTACAATTTGGGATGTACCTAAATTTTTTTTTTTTAAAAAAATTGCAATAAGTTTAAGTTGAATCTTACACCTTACGATACAAATTACGACCCACCTCACATGGGAAGGATAGATTCGCCACAAAGACTACGAGAGAGTTTTCAAAAGAATACTTGATACCCTTCCGCTGGCTTTATTCTAATTTCTTTATCGTTAAGGCTTGTACATGAAATACAACTCCTAACTCTAAGATACATATATACCCTCGAGAGGAGAGATTTGTTAAAAATTGTAGAAAAAATAAATAAAAAAGATGAAGTTTACATTAGAGCCCACCTAAAAATTTTCACTATCAGGCATTGTTTTGATGCTCAAATATCCTCAAATGGATCATCTCGACATCAAGATTTATAGACAAATTTTGAAAATAGTTCATTGTAACGCATTTTTGGAACGTCAATTTTCAAGATTTTTAAATTTTCATATCTCTGCTTGATCTACACCAATGGTTTAAAAACGGATCGGTGACCCGGATCGGGCTCCCAAAAAACCGATCCGGATCGGGAATCGAGTGAATCGGTCAGAATAAAGCTTAAAAAAATCCGAAAAAATTATTAAAATTCATTATAAAAATTGTTTTTTAGGAATTCAATAAGAAATGAGGGTACTCCATTAAGAATTTTTATGTTTTTGAATGAATATGCGAATGTTCTTTCCCTTCATGAACCGCCATTCAGCATTTAATTTACAGCACAAAAAAGGATAAACATAGAATTATCATGGAATAAGTATATCAACATACATGGACTACAATAAAGCATAAAATTAGTAACATATGATCTAAAAATAAAATGATAGACGACGTTATTGTTCTTCTTAGTCACGCTGGTGCCATTGATTGAATTCGTTTAACAATTCATTGTTTCGATCTAAAAACGAATCATCGATATTAGCAGGCGTCTGACTATTCCCAAATCCCTAAGTGTTAGTGTTTTGTTGTGTTCCCAATCTAAAATCCCCGAAGATTGTCCATCCTTCATGCTCACCTGCACTGTCGTGCTCATCCCTACACTGTTGCTGATGGGACTCGATATGTGAATAATATGGCTGGGATAGGGTGGCCTTAGAATCATCATCACTCTCATTTTCTCTTTGAATAATATGGATTAAAAAAAAAAACAAAAACAAATTTTCAAAAAAATCGATCATGGATTAAAAAAAAAAAATCACAAATTTTCAAAAAATTATATCATGGATTACAAAAAAAAATTCGATCATGGATTAAAAAAAAAATCACAAATTTTCAAAAATTCTATCATGAATTACAAAAAAAAATTCGATCATGGATTAAAAAAAAAAATCACAAATTTTCAAAAAATTCAATCATGGATTACAAAAAATTCGATCATGGATTAC